GAGGGGCCGTTGGTTGTCAGTCAGCGGGTGAGTCCTCGGCTCCACGCTGAGGCTCGGGGGGCAGCAGTGTTGTGGGGAGGGTTGTGTGCTGCGCGGGCTGAGGCCAGTGCTCTGGGCTATGGGTGTCAGATGGGTTTTAGAAGGGCTTTATGGTGAGGCTGCAGCCTTGGCGGACAGGCCCCATGCCCAGGTTTTGCCTTCTGCCTGAGGTATTTCGGGTCCCAGGAGACGTGGGACCCTGGGCCTCGTCCTGCAAGAGGAGCTGTGCTGGGTTGGGGGCAGGCAGCCCTGGCAGAGTCTGCACGTTTCTCGTCCGCAGATATTATCAATGCTGACAAGATGTCGGGGAGGAGCAGAAAGTACAAGATTATTTTCAGCCCCCAAAAGGTCAGTCTGACCACACTCTGCTGCCAATTACCCCATCACTCTGCATCTGCTCAGCTTTCATGCCTTCCACCCCTTCTACGGACACCAAAAGTTCTTTCTTTCTGACCCAGAAATGTTTAATTAAAATCCGATGTTGCAATGCCTGGGAATGAGCTGGTCTTCTCCACTGCCAGATCTGTGCCCACACATCTCTCCTTCTCTTCCAGTTCTATGCTTGCGAGATGGTGCTGGAGGAAGAGGGGGTCTTCGGTGGTGAGTGGGGCTGTGCTGCTTGCCCCTTCCCCTCCCCGAGGGCTGGCTCGCGGTAGCTCTGATGCCGCAGAATCCCAGTTGAATCCCCGTACTGAGATCCCTGCGCTGGCAGGGACGGGAGCGTGGGCAGGAACTGCAGTTTCCCGCAGCCTGGCTGCAGGCAGCCATGTGCGTGCCGCAGCACCGGCACCTCTCCTCTGTCTTCTGGGAGCAGGGAGGGTCCCACCGTGAATCCCTGTGGAAAGGCCCCACCTCTGCTCCCCACACCCGTCTGCGGGGCTGTCGTGACCCTTGGGGTCGTTTCTGCCGAGGGCCTGGTAACTGTCGCCTTTCCCTGTCCCAAACTCAGACGTCACCTGCGATGAATGGTCCTTCTACCTGCTTCCCCTGGATGAAGACATCATCAGCATGGAGCTGCCCGAGTTCTTTCGCGACTACTTCTTGGTCAGTGGGACGCTGCTGCTGGGACGCTGCCCTGCAGGGTTGTGGCCTTTCCCTCGCTTGTCTGTTGGGCTTGTGACAGAAGAGCTTTTTTCAGAGAGCTGATGCGTGACGTCCTGCTCAGTCCCCTCAGCTCTCGCTGCAGGCCCTTGTCTGCTGTCCCAGGGTGGGTTTTACCGGGGGCAGCTGCTCCGACAGGCTGTGATGCCTCCCCTCCTCTGCAGGCAGCCCCATGCTGGCCTCACCCCTGCTCCCTCCCAAGCAGCTTCAGGGCATCCCAGCATATTCCCATGCACGTTCCCCCCGGAAGTGCCAAGCCCAGGGCCCTCTCCATCCCCAGCCCATCTCTGGCCGAGTCCCCCGGCGCGGCAGTCGTTTCCTAGCCAACCTGCCCGGGCTCGCTCCCCGACGTCTCCTGGTCCCTGCAGGAGGGAGATCACCGCTGGATCAACTCCGTGGCTCGAGCCCTGCAGTTACTGAACTCCCTGTACGGACCTTTCGGCAAGGCCTATGGGATTGGCAGGTGTGCCAAGGTATGGCCCATGCTGCCAGGCTTGGCCAGCGTGCGGGGAAGTCTCTCTGGTCCCCATAAGGGGTACAGCTTGCAGGGAATCAAACCCTATCAGCTGTGGGGCATCGGGTCACCCCTGTGGACCACCTCGGCCCATGTCCTGGCTGGCACACCACAGTGGCACGCGAGGGGCTGGTGCTGGGGCAGGCTGCGGGCCTCGGAGGGAGCCTGGGGCTGCTCCCCGGGCCCTGGCACACTCTGCCCATCACAGATGAGCTACGAGCTGTGGCGAGAGCTGGAGGAGGAGAGCGAGGGCGATGGCCAGGGCAGGAAGCCCGAGATTGGCAACATCTTCCTTATGGACAGAGGTAGGCTAGAGCAAGGGGGACAGCGGGCAAGGGACGGCTGATGAGGAGCAGTTTGGGCTGGCAGTTCGCCTGGAGAAGAATCTGGCAAATGGGGCAGGGAGAGCCTGTGCCGGCTGCAGGGAGCAGCAGGAGGCACGGGGTGGCTGGCCATGGTGGGCGGTGAGGACAGGCAGGGGAGGCACGAGGAGCGGGAGGACAGCCTGGGCACCATCTCTCCTTGCAGACACGGACTACGTGACGGCACTGTGCTCCCAGGTGGTGTACGAGGGGCTGGTGGACGACACTTTCCGCATCAAGTGTGGTAGGTCGCCAGGGGCAGCGTAGCAAGAGTCTCCGGGGTTTGTGCCCTGTGTGCTGCAGCCGAAGGGTGCGACGTGGGGACCATCCCGGTGTGGGGTGCTGCTGGAGGCTGTCCACGAGGACAGCCCTCGGTCTGACTGAGTGGCTGGGCGGGCATCGCCTGTCTCCGGTGCCTTTTGCAGCAGCACTGGCACGTGCAGGGATGTTGCTACTGCTGGGGCAAAGCAGCTCTTCATCCTTCTCTGCAGGGAGCGTGGATTTTGGGCCAGACGTCACCTCTTCTGACAAGAGTATTAAGGTGCTGCTCAATGCCCAGGATAAAGTGAGTCCTGCTCGTGTGCCTCGGGGGAAGTGGGTCCCCCCCGTGCTCCAGAAGGAGCCGAGCAGAGAGCGGCCGGGTGCTGCTGGGCCTCAGAGCACAGTTTGGGATGAGTCGGGGCACAGAGACCAAAGAAACGTGGTCTTGCAGACGCAGCTCGGCTTCCGTAACGGGCAGAGTCCCTGTGCGCAGGGGCATGTCGTGCCGGGCAGTCGGTGTTTTGGGGCACTGACCACCCTGGCAGGAATACCGCCTCGTCTCGCTGTTGAGGCCACTGGCAAGCGGCAGCTCTGGGTGCTGCGGTGCTGGGCGCTGTCGCTGGGCGGGCGCTGTGCTGACGCGGGAGCACAGGGCGCTCACTGCTACGGTGCTCTCTGCAGGTCTTCAGCCAGATTCGGAATGAGCACTTCTCCAGCGTGTTTGGCTTCCTGAGCCAGAAGTCACGTAACCTGCAGGCACAGTACGACGTGCGTATTGCCCCAGTGTGCGGGATGCCTGCGGTGCCGTCCCTCCGCAGTCGGGTCACCTCCCCGCCTGCTCTTTCTTCTGCAGCGCCGCCGCAGCATGGACATCAAGCAAATGAAGAACTTTGTCTCCCAGGAACTGAAGGGACTAAAGCAAGAGCATCGCCTGCTGAGCCTGCGTAGGGG